AGGATTCGGGTGACGATGTAGAGGACCAGGCGGCCTTCGGGTTTGGCGGAGTGGATGGTTGGGCGGCCTGAGGCATGGCGTTTGAGCTCGGTGATGCCAAGCTCGTTGAGGATAAGGCCCTCGTTGTTGAGCACCCAATCCTCTCCACCATAGTGTGACACATCGTCGCCTTGGAAGGGGAGGCCGGCGATGCGTCCAAACCGCTCCACAGTGAGCTCGATCGGCGTGCTCTTGACGAGCGAGTAGAGCACGTCGTCCTCACAGCGGAGGTTGGAGTAGAAGGCCCGAATTAGTGCCGGGTTGATCTCCTTGCGTGCCCGGGAGACGAACGGCCAAAGACCGGCTTGATGAAGCTGTGCGTCAAGGTCGTCGTAGCCTTGCAGCTCCGGGTAGCGCTCCGGGATGATTCGTGGGGGAGCCACAACCCGTTTAGAGAAGAAGGTGAGAAAACGGGTGCGCTCCTCCTCGGAATCGAACCAGAGATACGTCCCATCGTTGTAGTCGATGCGATCCTCGGGATTGGTTACCGGTGCCCGGGATTTTGCCTTGGATTTTCCGGAAGCTCCTGCCCTGTTCTTATCTTTGGCCATGGTGATGAAGAAATCTCAAAAAGAATGTTAGAGAGGATAAAATATGCAAGGAGATTGAAGAAGTTTGTGTTTGTGTGTGTAAAGATGAGAAGAGGGGGTCCAAATATATAGGAGAGAGGGTGGCCAACGTTCAAGAATTTGAAAAAAAGAGTTGTTGGAGCAATTAAAGCAGGTGCAACGGATATTTTTTTGAAAAATTTGACCAGAACAGCGATGTTCTACAGGCGACATCGCTGTTGGGACAGCGCTGTTGTTCCTTGTACAGCGCTGTTCTGCGTCAAGTTTTTAAAAAAAACAAGAGTAAAACCGACAGCGATGTTGAGTGCCCTACAACGATGTTTCAAAAGTTTCTGGAATGGTGAAAGGGTTTGAACCCATTTGAACAGCGCTGTTGGGTTTCTCTACATCGCTGTTTTACGATAAAAAAAATTTGTAAAATTGGACAGCGCTGTTGCTCTAAACGACATCGCTGTTGAAAAAGTTTCTGGAAGTAAAAGTGTAAGGTACTCCCTGGGACACCGCTGTTGGTCTAGATAGACAGCGCTGTTGGAGAACTTTCTGGTTGACGGTGTTTCCCTAAACAGCGCTGTTGTGTCTCCTGGACAGCGCTGTTTGCATGGTTCCCCCTGATTTTATGGACGGGGTACCTGCAAAAAAGAAAAAGTTCTCCGACGCTCAAGTTAGTAGATGTTTAGTAAATTTAGATGCACAACTTAGATCATCGTGGAGTCAAGGATTCCGAGTTCACTTCGAATGCGGAAGAACGACTCTTTCTCTAAAGGTTTTGTGAAAATGTCGGCTAATTGGTTGTGTGTTTCAACGAACTCAATTTCGATATCACCTTTGAGAACATGATCTCTAATGAAATGATGCCTAATGTCAATGTGTTTCGTCCTTGAGTGAAGAACGGGGTTCTTCGTCAAGCTTATGGCGCTAGTATTATCACAACGAAGAGGGACGTGATTGATACTAAGGCCATAGTCCACGAGTTGTTGCTTCATCTAAAGGATTTGAGCACAACAACTGCCGGCGGCTACATATTCCGCTTCGGTTGTGGATAACGCAACACTGACTTGTTTCTTACTAAACCATGAGACTAGAGAGCTACCAAGTAAGTGGCAAGTCCCACTCGTACTTTTACGGTTACGGTCTAATTTGCAACCGGCAAAGTCCGAGTCGGAATAACCGACGAGATGACAAGAAGAGCCTTTTGGATACCACAGTCCAACGTTAACCGTGCCGACAAGGTATTTCATGATCCGTTTCACCGCGGTTAAGTGTGATTCCTTCGGACATGATTGATACCTCGCGCAAAGGCATACGCTAAACATGATATCCGGCCTACTAGCGGTAAGATAGAGAAGGGATCCGATCATACCTCGATACTTTTTGACCTCTATTTCCTTACCTTTCTCGTCTTTGTCAAGATGGTCAGACGTGCTCATCGGGGTCGCCATTGCTTTGGCGTTGTCCATTTCAAACCGTTTTAGGAGCTTCTTGCAATATTTAGCTTGGCAAATGAATGTTCCATCTTTCATTTGCTTAACTTGGAGTCCCAAGAAGAATGTGAGCTCGCCCATCATTGACATTTCAAATTCGCTAGTCATGAGCGTTGAGAATTCCTTGCACAAAGACTCGTTAGTAACACCAAATATTATGTCGTCTACATAAACTTGAACCAAAAGGATGTTATTGTTTTTACTTTTGATAAAAAGTGTAGTGTCAACCTTTCCCCTTTGGAAACCACTATCCAAAAGAAATTTACTCAAACGTTCGTACCAAGCACGTGGTGCTTGTTTAAGACCGTAGAGCGCTTTCTTGAGTTTGAAGACGTGATCGGGAAA